CGTTATACGATGGTAACCTTAGATTGACGTCTGAAAAGTGTTCGATTTGTTCTTGATTTCGCAGGGATCAGCTTTCTGTGGATGATGTGAAGGTTTACGCTGCCGTTTTGGAGAAACCCGGCGATTCCTTCCCAAATGCTAGCAAGTGGTACGAATCAGTCGCTTCTCAACTTGCTAAAAGGTTCGTGCTTTATCTGAGAATTTGGAACTACTTTGTTAAGATTTGGATCATATTAAGTTTTCCAAGAGATGATTGAATTTCAATTGTTGCAGTTTCCCCGGAAAAGCTGTCGGAGTGAGAATCGGTGCTGGTGCTGCTGCTCCAGCTGAAGCCGTTCAGACTGAGGTAACTTTACCCGAGTGATTGATTCCTGCTAAAATCTTAATTTATGTGCTCCTATTGTATACAATTAGATCATTGAGTTTAGACCTTAATAAAGTGGGATCATTATAGAAAATCTTGTATTAGAGACTCTTGAGCTGTGTTTGGTTGAGGAACATGGTTTTGAAACATGAAGAATTTGGGTTGGAAGCGTTTTCTCTGTGTTTAGCTATTTTCTTTAAATTGTCAATAGGCACCTGCATCTGCTGAAGATGATGATGACATGGATCTCTTTGGTGATGAGACCGAGGAGGAAAAGAAAGCCAATGAGGAGAGGGAGGCTGCTAAGAAGGACACCAAGAAGCCTAAAGAGAGTAAGTCTCTGTTTATTATGCAACTTGCTAGATTGGATTTGGTAGTGTGGAATGATATAAGCATGTCTTTTGGTTTCATTGGGAACACATGTGATTACTCTGTGAATGAGGAACTGCATCTTGAATTCTTATTGTTCATTTGGTATGAGTTCTTATTCTCTTTTGAATTTTGTTAGGTGGAAAGTCCTCTATACTCATGGAAGTTAAGCCATGGGATGATGAGACCGACATGAAGAAACTGGAGGAATGTGTTCGCAGTGTTGATATGCCCGGTCTTTTATGGGGAGCTTGTAAGTCAATAATTTCCATTCTGTCTATACTTCCGAAAACAAAACGAGCAAGCATTGAACTGTTTGTTTAAGACGGTTTTCTAATTGAGTCTTTTCTCCTGGAAAATTGTTGCAGCAAAACTGGTACCAGTTGGTTACGGGATTAAGAAACTCACGATTATGCTCACGATTGTTGATGACCTCGTGTCCCCGGACAACCTCATTGAAGACTTCCTCACCTCAGAGCCTAACAACGAGTACATCCAGAGTGTTGACATTGTCGCATTCAACAAGATTTAGAGACTTCAAACCTCCCCCTACCAAATGATATTTGATTTCCAAGTTTTGTTGTCTTTCTTCTTTTGTTTCTCTGAGATGTTTCTTTTCTAGTTGCAAGACCTCTTTCATGTTACAAAAACCTTAATTATCAAATACTTATTACTCCTTTCCATTAATGTTACTCCTCTTCATTTCCAAGAAGGTAAGGAAATGCCTTGTTCTGCCCGGATGGGAGCTTCAATACTTGATGGGTTTTCATAAAAGCAAAGATTACACAGTTATGTCTTAGGGGCAGTAGATTTAATAGGTGAACATAAAATGGTTGTTTAATGATGATACTCTCATTAGTAGTCACAGTAAGAAAGGACCTGATACAAATACGATATATGTATGATCTTGCGATTGCAAAGAAGAGAGAATGCTTCCACAAAAGGCTGTGTGATCAAAATAAGACTGATTTGAGGTGATACTTGTTGTTGTGTTTGGAGAAGCATTTTGAGTGTAACCCAAACCCACTAAGGTAAGGGCCCATGAGAACCATAATCGTTGTGTGGATAGAAAAAATGCCAGCTTGGCAGATTAGGATTTGGCTTTCGTCTTCACTTGAATTTGCTTCTGAATTCGATCTCAAGGCATTCTTCTCTTGACTCTTCTAACACAGGTATGATCTTCTTCTGTCTCGGTTTGCTGCCTTGTTGGTTTATGTTCTTGAAATGGATTCTTAAGTAATAATGATGAATTCATGTAGTGGCAGTGATATGCAATGCAGAAGCAGAGTATGCTTCATTCCGAGCGCCTAATATTTGGCTTGAAATGTGACGGTTCAATAAAAGCTAGTGCATCTCCTAGTCCTAGATGGATATGGCGCAGCAGTGGAGTCAGCTTGTCGTTTCTAAGAGCTAAAGCTTCATCAATGAGCATAAACATGGCACATAAACCCTTCACGGGGATAGCAAAATGCGTAGTTGAAGCGGATGAAAATGAAGATCTATGTCCTGTGGAGTGTGTCACTGAGTTCAAGACAGATGATGAATTACTTAGGGTCCTTGAAAAAGCCAAAGAAACTAATTCTTTGGTTGTGGTTGATTTCTATCGTCCTTCATGTGGGAGTTGTAAATACATAGAGCAAGGCTTCTCTAAGCTGTGCAAACAATCTGGTGACCAAGAAGCTCCTGTTATCTTCCTTAAGCATAATGTGAGAGAGACTATCTGATTGTATCTCTCGTCTTCATGTACGGAAGAAGAAACAAATTCAGTTAATAGTTCAATCTGATGAATTTGCAGGTGATAGATGAATATGATGAACAATCTGAAGTCGCTGAAAGGTTACGTATCAAGTCGGTTCCTCTCTTCCACTTTTACAAAAATGGAGTTCTATTAGAAGCATTTGCAACTAGAGACAAGGAGAGGATTGACGCTGCTATTCTCAAATATACGTCCTCCGAATCTTCAACTACACTGGATTAAACCCCTCTTTTGGTCATCTTTCCCAAATCATAGAATGTCATGTAACTATATTGAACACCATATTCTTGTTACCCTTTTATTCTTCTTGTGCGGTTTCATACTGAATAAGACAGATGCAACATTTTGATCTCCTTCTTCCGTTGTTCTCTCTGAGGTATACACTTGAAGAATGTGTTTGATTTGAAACCAGAAGGGAATGATTGAGAATAAAGGGTTTTGGTGGAACTGAAGCAAAGGTTAGAGAAACAGACATCTCTATGTTTCTTTTATCTTTACTTGCTCTGTCTGAAATCAGACTACACACTGTGATCATATACTTACTATTCATTTGCATTAATGTACGTTTTTGGTAACTTGTTAAGAAACACTAAGGTACTGTGACAAATTCTCTCACTTCAGAAAGAATTACGTATCCTGCAGCTCCCATCACAAGAGAAAGGGTGAGTTTTCCTCCTGGAACAAGTTGTGGTATGCGAGTTGCGGTTGATGATGAGGCTGAGTTGTACCTATCTGACCAAGACATTGCAGCTGGGAGGATTCCAAACAATACCAGAACTACAGAAGAGAAACCTTAGTTAGGTTCTTTTACTTATATGTGTATGTACTTGTTGATTGAGGTGGCTCAAGAAGAGACTCTTGTACCTCCATATGTCCCGGCAAAATCTAAGGCCTTGAAGAAAATCTCTGGGTCCAGTAGGGCCAGGAGAAGCGGTGGAACCAGCGTAAGCAGGTATGGAAGAGGCTTGTTCTCTCCGGATGGGTACTTCAATACTTGAATAAAAGCATAGATTATACAGTTGTGTTAGGGGCAGTATATTTTTAATAGGAAAACATAAAGTTGGTTGTTTAATGATACTCATTACTACTCACAATCAGAGAGGAAATCGGAGAGGCCTAAGACAAATCCAATATAAGATGTTGCGATTGCAAGAAGAGAGAATGCTTCCACAAAAGGCTGTGTGATCAAAACAAAACCGATTTGAGGTGATTGGCGAGAGTTTATCAGATAAGAAAGAACAAACTCAACTTACACCGACAATGACATTGCTCGATCTCAGTTGCTGCAGAGGATCGGTCATTTTCTCAGCTACCACACCAGTATCTGGAAAGGATCCAAGAATTACAGCGTTCCACACAAGAAACAAGCCAAGTGGTATGGCCGTGCCAAGAACAATAGCAGTTCTGAAGATAGAGATATTCAGAAAACTGAGTAACCCCGGACAAATTGAGTGAGTTTGAGTATGATGTCACCTCACTTTCGGTAAGTCTCCTTCAAGATTTGTGCAGAGAACCGGCACCACATTCTGTAAGAGAAGCACTCGATTAATAAAGTTTCATCATCTTGGAGTCATGAATCCGAGGTTGAATCATGGGGTTGATTGTCTACCTGATAAACAAATGAGAGGGCAATAATGGGTATACTCATGGGAACAGCGTCAAAGTTGGCCTTGAGAAGAGCTTCCCAGTGCAAGTCTCCGCTGGCAACTGCCTAACAAAATGGTGATCTATGGTTTGGTCACCCTTTTTTATGAACTCATAGGGAACATTTTGACGAAAAATTGTTACCACAAGTGCTGCAAACGTTGCAATTAATCCAAACACCAGAACTCCATTGGCCGCACCAATGAATCGCTGACTGCAACCACATGGAGAAAGTTATGATCAATTGCACTCTTTGGGTTTAGCCAGTTCCTGATGTGACATCATTGATTGTTTAAACGGAAAGCTAACCTTCCAAAGAAGCAAATGCCTCCAAGAACCAGTGAGAACAGAGTTGCGCTTTCCCATCTACAGAACTTTCTAGGTAAGTACAGCAGTGTAACAATTGAAACTCTCGATGCAAATATAAGGATCAACAAGGTTTCGTACATTGGAGTGCCAAGGAAGTTTGTAAGGATGCCTGAAGACCGGGCAATGTAAGCCACGAGAAGGGTGTAATGTATTAAAATGTAGGACCAACTGCACATAAAAAAGGCTTGTCTTCAAGTGTAAATGAAAGAAACACGAAGGACAACTATGCAAAGCAAGTTCTCAAATGAAAATGAGAGGATGATTACGAAGCAACTTGAACTCCAACAGACCCAAGAGTCCGCTTTGCCATTGAGACCTGCCCAAAGATCTAGTCAAAACCGAGTTTTTGATCATTTTTCTCGCATAGAACTATCGGTTTTCAAATGGATATATACCAGAGATACGCCTCCAGAGCCTAGTTCACACATGGTGTTGACATTCACTTCAGCAACCAGCAAACCTGTCACAACCTAAAGCCAACATATCTTTCTAATGACCAATCAAAATTGACTTCCAAGAAACATAAATAGAGATGAAATGAAGCATCCATCATCACACCATGAAAGCCCAACAGAGAATGCAAGCGACTGCAGAAGCCAGAAAACCGGATTCTTGTGTCACCGCTGGAATCGCCAGTATCCCTGCACCTACCTAATCAATCAAAGATAGACAATTAGCAGTTGATTCCTTCCACTTTTTCAACAAGAATCTATAAAAAGAGTTATGAGAAAGAAGACTTACGGTAGTACCAGCAACCAAGAAAATCGCACTGGACAAACTTCCTGAAAGTTCCAAACTTTAGCCAAAATTCCTATCCAGTTTTGGGTATTCACATGGAGAAAAAAAAAGATACAAACTTTGTACCGGATTCTCGCTTCAATGTTGATCGATTAAGGTTAGAGAAGAGCCTCTCAAATTGGACAACCTTTTCTTCCTCTTGTACTTCCGTTGTTCCTTGTGTTTCTCTCTGAGACTGAGGCAAACACTTGAAGAATCTAGGGGCCTGAGTTCTAGAGAATGGGTTCGATTTGAAACCAAACGGGGATGATGAAATATGATATCTTGGTAGATGAAGAGGGGGAACTCCATTGAGAATATAATGTTTTGGTGGAACTGAAGCAATGGGTAATCGAAGACAAGTGTGTGTTAGAGAAACAGACATATCTCTCTATGTTTTTTGTATCTTACTCTGTGATGTCTGAAATCAGACACACTGATCAGGATTCTGGTTTTTCCAGTTTAAAAGGTTGTGAGTTGTGACAAAACTAGAGAGCTTAGCTTAAGAGACAACATGTGTGGCTGTCTTATTTTCTCATTTTTATTTCCCAATTAAATTATAAAGGTATGCATTTATGTTTCAATTTAGCTTTTAGGAAAAACATTTGCATTTCATGTAAAAAAAAATCTGATAGGAATATGTCATCAGGAAGAATAAGAGACTTCGAAACTCTCCCTACCAAAAGGTCTTTGATTTCCAAGTTTTGTTATCTTTCTTCTTGTGTTTGCTGAGATGTTTCTTTTCTAGTTGCAAGACCTCGTTCGTGTTCTAAAGAGTTTTAACTATCAATACTTATTACTCCTTTGCATTGCTTTTGGTAACTTGTTAAGAAACACTTAGGTACCGTGAAAAATTCTCTACTACTTGAGAAAGAATCACGTATCCTGCAGCTCCCATCACAAGAGAAAGGGTGAGTTTTCCTCCTGGAACAAGTTGCGGTAAACTCCTTGCGTTTAATGGTGAGGCTGAGTACCTATCTGACCAAGACATTGCAGCTGGGAGGATTCCGAACAATACCATAACTACAAAATAGAAACCGTAGTTAGGTTCTTTAACTTAAATGTGAGTGTTCTTGTTGATTCAGGTGGCCCAAGAAGAGACTCTTGTACCTCCGTATGTCCCGGCAAAATCTAAGGCTTTGAAGAAAATCTCTGGGTCTAGTAGGGAAAGGAGAAGCGGTGGAACTAGCGTAAGAAGGTACGAAAGAGCCTTGTTCTCCCCGGTCGGCAGCTTCAATACTTGAAAGTTTTCATAAAAGCAAAGATTGTGAGGCAGTAGATTTAATAGGTAGACATAAAGATGGTCATGGTTGTTTAATGATCTTCATTAGTACTCACAGTCAGAGAGGAAATCGGTGAGGCCTAAGACAAATCCGATATATGATGTTGCGATTGCGAGAAGAGAGAATGCTTCCACAAAAGGCTGTGTGATCATATAACAGATTTTGAGGTGACTGGTGGAAATTTATCTGATAAGCAAGAACAACTCAACTTACACCAACAATGACACTGGTCGATCTCAGTTGCTGCAGAGGATCGATCATCTTCCCAGCGGGCATCCCAGTATCTGGAAAAGATCCAAGAATTACAGCGTTCCACACAAGAAACAAGCCAAGTGGTATGGACATGCCAAGAACAATCGCGGTTCTGAAGATAAAGATTTTCAGAAGGCTGAGTTAATGCCAACAGATTTGAGTGAGTTTAGGTGTGATGTCACCTTACTTTCGGCAAGTCTCCTTCAAGATTTGTGCAGAGAACTGGCACCACATTCTGTAACAGAAGCAATCAAATAAGAAAATTCCTTCATCTTGGAGTCAAGAATCCAAGATTGATTGACTACCTGATAAACAAATGTGAGGGCAACAATGGGTATACTCATGGGAACGGCGTCAAAGTTAGCCTTGAGTAGAGCTTCCAAGTGCAAGTCTCCACTTACAACTGCCTAACAAAAATGGTCATCGGTGATTTGCTTTTCCCTTTCATGAGTTCATAGGAAGGTCTTTAATGGAAAAATTGTTACCACGAGTGCTGCAAATGATGCAATTAGTCCAAATACCAGAACTCCATTAGCTGCACCGATGAATCGCTGGCTGCAATCACATGGAGAAAGTTATGAGTAATCTCTCGGGTTTACCACTAATTCCACTTCTATTCTCTTTTTTAACAGTTTCTGATTTCATCTGCGATACTCATTGATTCGTCAAAATGGAAAGCTGACCTTCCAAAGAAGCAAATGGCTCCGAGAACCAGCGAGAACAGAGTTGCACTCTCCCATCTACAGAACTTTTTAGGAAATAAGTACAGCAGCGTAACACTCAAAACTATCAGTGTAAGTATAAGAATCAATCAGGGTTTCTTACATTGGAATGCCGAGGAAATTTGTAAGGATGCCTGAAGACCGAGCAGTGTAGGCCACAAGAAGAGCGTAATGGTAGAAAATGTAGGCCCAACTGCACAACAGAAAGGCTTGTTTGAAATGTTAATGAAAGAAATAGTGAAGGAAACTATGGAAATCTCAAATGAGAATGAGAGGATGATTACGAAGTAACTTGAACTCCAACAGACCCAAGTGTCCGTTTCGCCATTGAAACCTATAAAAATATCAAGTCAAAGCTGAGTTTTTACGCATAATTTTGCTCGCGTAGAAGTATCGGGTTTCGAATGGATATATACCAGAGATACACCTCCAGAGCCTAGTTCACACATGGTATTGACATTCACTTCAGCAACCAGCAAACCTGTCACAACCTGAAACCAACATATCTTTCTAATGATCACTTCCAAGAACACATGAATAGAGATGTAAAGAAGCATCCATCATCACACCATGAAAGCCCAACAGAGAATGCAGGCAACTGCAGAAGCCAAAAAACCGGATTCTTGCGTCACCGCTGGAATCGCCAGTATCCCTGCACCTACCTAATCAGTTACCAGAAATTAACTAACTTGATTCCTTCCACCGTTTCAATGAGAATCTGAAGAGAATGAGGACTTACGGTAGTGCCAGCAACCAAGAAAATCGCACTGGACAAACTTCCTGAAACATTCATAACTCCAAACTTTAGCCAAAATTCCTATTTAATTTTTGTGCCTGAATGGCAAAAAGATACAAACTTTGTACCGGAATCTCGCTTCAATGTTGATCGATTAAGGTTAGAGAAGAGCCTTTCAAATTGGACAAC